ACGACACGCAATACATGTCGTAAAACGCTCAGACGACGCACAAATACATGTCAAGGAAGGCCCTGTCATAATGAGATACGACACGCTTTTGCGTGTCGTCTATTTACGACCCGCATTTATGACACGCATTTATGACGCACAGTTATGACATGCAATGCGTATCAAGGAAGGCCCTGCCATAAAGGAAGACGACACACATTTGCGTGTCGTAACCTTACAACGCACGTGTTTATGACACGCAATGCGTATCAAGAAAGCCCCTGTCATAAATGAAGACGACACACATTTTTGTGTGTCATAATTTTAAATGTTTTTAGAATTATATATATATTTTTTATAGATTTACTAATTTTCAAATTAAATAACATATTAAAAGTCTCATAATACAAAATAAAATACCATTAACAATAAAGATAATTCATTGCACTAATATGTCAAATACAAATTATCATTCAAATGTAAGCAAATGTAACACATTGCTAATATTGCTTAATATTTATGATAGAAAACAAAACATGTAAAACATTAAAAGAAACCCATCACAAAATTCTCCTTTGACAATTTGCTTTCTAAAAGAATAACCTGAATTCAGGAACTTTGAGAGGCTGCAAGGCACTAATGAAACGTTCGGATTCCCAGGTATATTATTTTCATTATTTATGTTTAGGTGCTATAACTCGCCGAGTAGAGGCGGGTGTAGCCACGTAGGTTTAATGATCCATCTCGACGAGTCCGAGAGTAGGCTCGCCAAGTAGGCGTTGTGAGTGGAAACCCTAAATCCCTCGGTTTGGGGCCTATTTAAAGGAACTTATAGCCTCATTTGCGGCCACACCTCACTGAGAAGAAACCCTAATTGTAAGTCCCAAATCTAATGATCCAATTCAGTAATCAATGAAGTTGATTGTAATAAAGGAGAGATGTAGAAGAAGAAGAACCAAAATCAAGCATGCACACATCTATATTAAGTAAATGTCAAGTACATCTTGAGAAAAGTACAACTACTTTAGACTTCTGACACAAAGCAACAACTACAAACTGACACAACTCAGTTGCTATAAATAGTACTCCTTCTACCAGCACAAGAGTGTGCTGCCGAACACATGAGTGCGGCTGCACACACATGTGTTGCAACACACATTACAAGACAACACACAATCACTGTAAAAATGACGCTATCACTTATACAAAATGATGCCTAGATCAAACCACAAAATTATGTTCTTTCAGTCTCCTCCTTGGTTTGAGACTAGCATAGTCTTGTCTTCACTCATTTGGCTCCTTAACAGGCTTCTCAAACAACCTCAGATCTGATCTCTCTATCGATCCCATCCACAATCTTCCATTTATGATCGTAGCCACCATTGCAGTGTATTCTTTAGCAGAAGCTTCCATTACGTCTTTTCTGCAGATTATCTGGTGATGAGCCAGAGTCCGAATATCCCTTTCTCAAAAACTAAGAAGATCTTTTGCATTAATCAGCCTCAAAACATGTTCTTGATCCTTGAATTTGATAGCAGTAGTTGCAGTTTCGTCATCGTATGCCCAAAATTCCATATTGTCAAGATATCCCTCGTGGAAGTGCTGAGGGATTGGAATTTCTTTTTGCTTTTTTGTAGCAGGCCATAAAATAATCTTCGTAGGTTTGCCTGTTTCTGGGTCGAGAACATCCTTATCCTTTCGATAAAGGGCTTTGGCGGTCTTCATACTGGGAAAATTTTCTTTGATCTGCCTATCAAGGAACCTCTAAAAGTTAGATGCACTTGGATCTTGCGAGAGATTGTGAAAGGGGACCCTAGATAATTCCGCTATATCAGTCTTAGTCCAAGAATTGATATCATGGGTGCTTTTGGAACACTCAGATATTCCTGAGTTTCGCTTTACCACCCACAAATTCGTTTCTAGATCGAAAGCCCACATACGGATACCAAATCTGTCACCATTCTCGTCGCCAAACTTTCTCTTTCTCAAATCTGTTACAGTCAGAGCAGGGTCTTTTGCTTTGCGATTTTCATTGGTATTTTTCATGAATAAAAGTCCTTCGTGTTGATTTGCAGTCATAATTCTTTTTCCCTATTTGATTGTGTCACAACTGGAAATTTTGTGTCATGTAATCTGTACATTCAAGCTAATGTGAATCAAAAACTTCAATCAAATACATTATACAAGTACTACAAGTAGTCATCAAACAATTGGAGACCCTAGAAGCTCTTGTTAAGTCCATTTTGGACTAGGACTTCCTTATTGGATCCAAACGGACCAATAAGCCTCCAATAAGACTATCATGGGCTTAGAACCCTTAAATGGACTCTAATTGGACCCACATTTGTTTGTTTCAATATTTTGGGCTAGGTTGAACCTAGAATGAAATAAATTAATGACTATGAACCATAATTAACCTAATTTGACCCTAACAAGTCAGAAAAATCACATTTAAATTTATTTGGACCAAAAATCACCCAACTTAACCATGAAAATTGGGCTTAAGTATTTAAGGCCCAAACACTCTCATTTCCTCCATTATTCTCGGCCCAAAAGCTCAAGCCCAAGAAGAGGGTTGACCTTAGTGTGGCACCTCCTTATTGTCTTGTGGATCTCCATGCAAATCCATTCCATGTATCCATGCACATCACCTCATGTCTATATCTCCCTCTCTCTTCTTGAACTCGGCCGAGAGCAACACCCCACACACACAAAACACTCACAAACTCTCTCTAAAATTCACTCAAGGCTTCTTCTTCTTCTCCATCCAAAATCTCGAAATTTAGGAAGCATTCAAGGAAGTTCTTCCACAAAATCATCATCTAAGGTAAGGTTTTGCTTGGATCTATGACTTGTATTCCTTATTTATCAAAAATCTCTTCCTAATCCATGCAAAAATCATGATCTTGCACTCTAGAAACCCCATAAACTCGAAAATTTCATCAAGGAGTGCAAAGGCCAAAAATCACTTCATTTCTTCCAATCTTTCTTCAAAAACCGAATCAACATCCAAGGTGAGTTTCATATCCCCTTATTTTCGGTTTTTATGAGTTTTTGTGGGGGAGAATACAAGAAAAAGTGTAGATCCATCATTATGTGTATGTTGTGGTTGATTTCTACGCTTATGTGTATGTTTTGTATGATTTTGATGATAGATTTAGTATGAAATGCTAAAAACCGAAACTTATATCCTATTATGGCATAAAATATACTACTTCATTTCAAAGTATACTAAGAAAATGGCTAAATAGCTTGACAACACTTAACTTGGGCTAAAAACTCATTTTTTTTGACAAAAATGTTGAAAATACAAAGTTAAAGGGCCTAAAGTGAAATATTTCGAAATCTGATGGGTAAGATGAGTCAAAACAGTTTACACAATGTATTTTCTGAAAATATACTATTTAGAGGGTTAAAAACATAAATTCCAAGCTTATTGGGCTAAACATGACATTTTCGGCCCAATAAGGCCCAATATGCGAAATTTTCTAAATTGGAGGACCAAAACTGCATTTTTCTGTAAAACAGTGGACTATAAGTGTTCCATGTGCTTTTCAAAGGTTTAAAATGCTTTTCAAATTTAAAAGGGACCAAAGTTGTAAAAATTTTCCAAATTGGGTCAAAAATGTAAAAGTTGCGAAAAAGAGGGGCTATAACCGAGAAAACTGAAATTTCAAGGGCTTAAACTGTTTTCTATGATAAATATGCTGGAAAGTACTTATTTCAATAATTTTTGGTATAAAAATGTCAAGAAAAATGATTTGAGGACCAAACCGGAAAGTTTTTAAATAAAGGGGTGAAAAGGGTAAATTCTACAATTAAGGAGGGGCTGAAAACAGAAAATCTTCAAGGCTAGTTAATACATGCAATTTGACCAATTGATGGTACCACGCTTGTCGACGAAATGCAATACACTACAATACCAAAAGTCGTTGTTAAACGAATTGGTTCGGTCTCGAACCAATAAAAATCCAAAACCACTAACACGACGACGTTACGACATTTCGATTCATAACTAATAACGATGGAGAATTCACTATACATACGAGTGTGCGCAGACGTCTATGCACCATCTTTGGGCCCCAAAAGTGTAAAATCTTGTTCGTTGAGCCTAGCTAGCCCAATGACCTGATCTTAAGGCCCGAAGATCTCTCTCTCTCTTACGAAGTGTTGGGTTTTACCGATCCGACATAACGTAACAGGACTTTCAATGGCAAACGTGCTGCTGGTCCCCAAGGGTCCTTCAGTGCTGCTAGTAAAGTCGGTAACTCACGATTGCGGGTTGGGCTTCGGGCCCTTCGCAATTGCATTTGTCCTGAACGACGCGGGGAAATACCGACGGTTTCGCACCTTCTCTCCTTCCCTCCGGTCGTGGGACTACACAAGTCTGGGAGGATCGAGTTGTGTGAAGAATTACGAGTGGCACCTAAGGGATCGCTTGTAAGGTTGTCGATTGGACGTTTTCATTAACGTACGTCACAACACTTCACCACCCATTGTATTCTCAATGCCTCCGGAGCTCAACGATTTCCCTCTAACGAAACGAAACAACGGTATACAAACTAAGTAATACAAAGTGATAGGAAAACATCGGGTTTTCCTAGGGTTTTCAACAATTACAAATTATGAATTAACGGTCGAATTTTCACAACTCTTACGCTTACATCTATAGAATTCAAACATGCATACTCATGGATCAACACATATTTTTACACTATTCTATTATTAGAAAATATCGGATTTTCTGATGGGTTTCAAACATTACATTGGATTTCAAACACTACTTATGAACTCACCAACATTTCGTATGTTGACGTTTTTTTTAAAATACTTGTATTCTCAGGTAACAGATAAGGTGACGGATGATTTATACTCTATGATGTTTGCTGTGGTTTAAGTGATGTTGAACAGTTATTTTGAACAATGTAACGAATGTAAACACTATCGGTTGTACTATTCCAAATGTTGGTGATGTTTTATGTTATGTTTCATGTATATGCATTGTGATGGTATTCAATGAGTCACGATAACCCTCGGACGTTTCCGCCGTCTGGTTCGAGGGTGTGACAGATTGTGATTCTAGCTCTGCTTCCTTCTGGTTCTTTTTCAAATCTGTTGACAATTGTAGCTGTTCTTGGAGCAGGTGGGTTAACAGGTAGATCATCAGATGCAGGAGGTGATTGAACAAAAGGAGGATCAACTACTCCATGAGGCTGTTGGAAGAGGGCTTTAACTTTTTCACCAAAAGCATCATACAATATGTTCTTGAGATTCAAATAATTAGCCAGAACAGATCCAAGACTCGTTTGTAGATCATTGATTTGTTTGGTCTTTTCTTCATCCTTTGCCCTGAGCTCAAAGATATGTGCAAAAAGCTGATCCATTTGAATTGACTTTTCAATGAGCTGTTGGCGAAGAACTCCAATTTCCTCTCGGAGATCAGACGAAGAGAATTTGTCATTATCTGTCCGACCCTCGTTAAATGATATTCCTTTCCCACGTGAAGAGGTTGGACTAGATTGAGCCAGATGTTTTACTAATTTGATAGAAGCTTCATCTAGAGAAGGTCGAGTTGAAGAATATTCTGGAATAGAAGAGGATCCACCAGTCTCGAACATGGTACTTGGACCTTCATCAGTCTGCTTTGGAGGAGAGTGAGCAGAGGTTGCAGTGATTGTTGAAATACCTTGAGGAGCACATTTTACAGAGGGTACCTCCAGACTTTCAAGATATTGGCTTGTTCTTATGGAAGTCTGAGAAGTCTGAGGTTCATATAAGACAGAAATGACTAGAGTTGATGTTGAGACAAGTGACACCAAGGGAGGAATCTATGATGTCACATCTCCTTGACTTGTTATGACCTCCAAGGGCTTTGATGTAGAGAGTAGAATTTTGAGAACATTTCCTTCATCTCTAGTCTTGGTTGCTAAAGAAGCAACTTCATTGACTTTATTTACACGGCTCCTGGGAATATCAAGAAAAGGATCAAAATCTTCATCACCAAAATCAAATTCTATGTTTGTTGGAATATAGTCACTGATTCTTGTAAAGTCGATTTCTTTCAAAAATTCCACATCTTCATAAAGATTATCGTCATCATCCTTTCGAGAAGATTTTGAATCATTTGATTTCTGATTATCATGCTCGTCAGCTACATAAGCTGTGGGAGAGTGATGAATCTCCTCCACTTCAGGCCCGGAGGGGGAGCGAGAAATATCTTCATTTTCCATCGGCATGGATTGTTCTGCTGGTTCTTCTCTGACATCCTCTTTAAAAATTCCAAATTTTATTAATGGAAATTTTCCTTCAAATACGAACTTTCCGCCTCTCTTTTGCTTCATTAGTACAAAGGCACTTGCACCAATGGATTTGAAATCCAGAGTATCATTTCCTCTCTGCAACTCGGGATGAGTTACGTTAAGGATGACTTGTAAAAATCTTGGATACATACAAAATTTGTCTCTTTTTCTCCCTTCAAGATTTAGTATCATTTTCATTCATTATGAATTTTGAGAAATTAAAGTCAAAACATGCTGCCAATGCTGCAATGGCACCGGTGTTGGCTAGAGAAATCTCGTTTGCTCCTGATCTCCGCCCAGAAATGCAACTCACAAACACATGAGCCCAAAGCTTCCAGCATGGAGGAAGCAACTTTTTGATTGTCGGAGGAAAAGTTCCTTCATATCCCATATTCTCTAAAATTTCCTCAATTTGATGAACGTTAATCTCCATGGGGTACTCAGGCCTATCCTCAATTTGAAGATATTCTTTGATGATGCTTTCTGCTACTAGAATTTTCTTGTCTTCGATTGTTGCTTCCAATAATTTTTCACCTCGATCATTCTTCTTTACAACAACATTTCTCTAGAAATCCTTAATCAAACATTGGTAGATAGCAGGTTTTGCAATTAGGGCATGAACCAAGTAGGATTTCTTCAAGCCATCCACAATGAATTTCAAGTCACTGTGGACCGTAGGAGGGTTTTCGAGAAAAATTGCAGAATTATGAGCTTTAGCAAATTCCATGTCTCCCATGTTGATCTGAAAGTTAACACACAAAGTTATTAGGACAAAACAATAAAAATGAAGTCGTACACGTGATTACACACAACCGCACACATTTAAGTGTGCGGCCGCAACCGCACATCCACAAATTTATGCAGCCGCACACAGTCATCCACACACGCCTGTGTGCGGCCGCACACACCGTGTGCGGTTATTTTTGAAGATAAACAATTTTTTATGAAGATCCAACAGCAAACAATCAAGATCTAACATCAAACAATGAAATTTTTTACCGAGTTCATAAGAATTTACCAAGTCAAATCTTTGATTTCACGAAAAATTTTTGGAATTAAGAATGAGATATAGAGAGAAACAGTGTGCGTGTGCGGTTGAGGCAAAAGTAAATGATGGTGAAAAAGGCTCACCGCACATACACTTGATATATGCACAAAATTTACAACTTATCCCCGTTATCTATTAATCATTAACGCCCATGCCCCTTTCACTCACCATTTTGTCAAAATGAATTATTTTGAGGATTAATGTGAAATTAATTTCAAAATTCCTAACAAACTAAAACTTATTAAAAAGAATAAAATTAAAAAAATAAAAAATTAAAAATAAAAATTAAAAATACTAAAAAAATTTAAAAATAGAGTAGAATAAAAATTTGATAAGGAATAAACAATTCAATTTAAAACTATATAAATTGGTTTAACTTGTTGAGGTTTATAAATTGTTTTAACTTGTTGAGGTCTGGTTGATTTTCGGTATTGTTGTCCACTTAAACACGAAAAATTGTGACAAAATTAGGACACACTAATGAATGACAAGACAATGTGATCCTAAGTTCCTAGATAATATATCATAAGGACCAATCTGCTGACGACGACTAGGGATATTGTTGTCTGCCTAAATTGAGCAGCGAGATCTATAGACAATCTTTGAGTGTTCAATTTTAATTGTACTGGAACGTGTTTCCTGCTTCCAGACATGCCCCGGTAATCAAGGACTTCCAGAGTACTCCTTACATCGGATGAGCAGACCATCATTAGGGGAGAAGATAGATTCAGAGTATTATCACTTATAGTGCATATGCTGTGTACCAGGGCAGATTGTTAGTCACGCAAAGGAGATAGCATATTGCTAACAGATAAGAGGAATTTCATATATGTATATGTATAATATGCAGAGAAATAGAGTTGCATAAGTTACAGTCCATGTCGGATCTCTTCCAATCACGTAGAGGAGGTAACATATGACTAACAGACAGAAAGAAAGAGAATGATTTTCTACAGACCTAATTTATCGGAATTTACCAGTTGCCCCATCAATACCGGAATTAAGGACAGAATCTGCACATGGAGGAAAAGTTAAACCATAGTTCCAGATACGGGTTCATTTAATGTGACGAGTAGATTCCCATATATATCTCCCTGCTCAACCTATCCGAGCATCGTATTGTCAGGCTGAACGGATCTAACTAGATCAAGATTTGTCAAGTCTATAGATTCCTTAAGTTCAACTCTGCCTAGTCATGTCCATTTAGAATCTTTCGTGCCTACCAGCACATCAAACCCGAGCATAGACCCTTCAACTTTGGGTACGTTACACAGACTCAGGTTGCCTGTTATCACATAATCATATCACTTCCCCGAACATCTCCCACAAACATAATTTCTACCTTTTAATGTGTTTGGTTTTTTTTTTTTTATAATGTTTTTGGATTTTCTATTTTTTAATGTTTTTGGATTTTCTATTTTTAATATTTTTGGATTTTCTATTTTTTAATGTTTTGGGATTTTCTATTCTTCTCACCCTAAATTTGTGCATAAAAATAAAGTAAAATAAAATGCGCAAATTTATGCTAAAAAAATAAAGAAATAAAATAAAAAATTAATCCTCAAAACGAATCTGTTTTAGAAAATTAACCAGCACATCGAATCGAGCTTTGTTAAAAGGCTTGGTGAACAGATCTGCTACATTATTATCACAGCGGACCTGTTCTAGCCAAATGAGCAAACGCTCATAACATTCTCGAATAAAATGAATCTTGATGTGGATGTGCTTGGTTTTTGAGTGAGTGACCGGGTTTTTGGCAATTTGAATCGCAACCTCATTATTACGAAAAATAGGGGTTTCTTGAAAATTCAAACCGTAGTCCAACAATTGATGTTGGATCCAAATGACTTCTGAACAACAAGCAGATGCGGCAACATATTCCGCTTCTGCTGTTGAGGTTCAGACTGTGTGCTGCTTCTTGCACTGCCATGACACCAGTTTATCTCCCAGAAATTGGCATCCTCCTGAAGTCGATTTTCTATCAAGCTCACACCCGCCATAATTGTTGTCAACAAAAGCATAAAGATCAAATTCGGGATTTTTCGGATACCAAAGACCCAGTTTTGAGCACCCTTTGAGATACCGAAAAATCCTTTTAACAACAATTAAATGAGAGAGTTTAGGATTAGCCTGGTAGCGAGCACATTGACAGACCGCAAACATGACGTGTGGGTGACTAGCAGTAACATACATAAGTGATCTGATTATTGATCGATAATGAGTTTGATCTACGGATTCACCCTCAAGATCAGGAGTCAGAAGAGGTCGTTCCGCCATGGGCTTAAGAGCAGGTTTCGCGTCTCGAAACCCGAACTTCTCCAGTACATCTTCCACATATTTTGCTTGATGAATAAGGATTCTAGTTGAAGATTGTTTAACTTGAAGCCCCAAAAACGTGGTCATTTCCCCAAGTGAACTCATCTCAAAGGGCTTCTTCATCACCGCTTCAAACTCCTTGCAAAGTTGTTGTCTTGTGGACCCAAAAATGATGCCGTCCACATAAATTTGAACGAGAATTTGATCTGGACCGGCATGCTTGAGAAATAAGGTTTGATCAATGGTGCCTTGGGAATAGCCGTGGTTGAGCAAATGCTGAGTAAGAGTATCATACCAAGCTCGAGGAGCTTGATGCAATCCATACAAAGCTTTGTGTAACTTGTAAACATGGTTTAGAATAGATAAGTTAACAAAACTAGGTGGTTGGTCAACGTAAAATGTCCTCCATGACCTTTCCGTACAAGAAATCCATCTTGACGTCCATTTGGTATACAGTAAAGTTCATGTAGGATGCATAAGCAAGGAGGATACGAATGGCTTCCAAACGAGCAACCGGAGCATAAACTTCTGTATAATCAAGACCCTCAACCTGTCGAAACCCTCGAACCACCAATCTTGCCTTGTTGCGCACAATGACACCTGAATCGTCTTTTTTATTTCGAAATGCCCAACGAGTATCAAGAGATTTATTTCCTTTTGGTAGCTCCACCAATTTCCAGACTCCGACTTTCTCAAATTGATTTAATTCATCATGCATGGCTTCAACCCAGCTGGACTCATTCAGAGCCATTTCGACAGATTTGGGTTCTATTTGAGAGATGAAGCAAGAGTAGAGACATGTATTAACATCCCCACTTTTACTTCTTGTTTGAACACCGTCGCCCAACTAGCCAATGATGTTGTCTATCGGATGATCTCGCTGAATACGTGTAGGGATCTGATAGCTAATATCATTGCCAGAAACAAGAAGATTATGAATATTAACCGCTCCATTATTTTCTGTATGATCCATAGAGAATGAACAAGGTTCGTTTGAAGAATCTGCTACAAACTCTTCTACAATGTTTTCTGGAAAGAAAAGTTCCATCAGATTTGAAGTTACAGCGGAAGTCTCGTGGTTCATGAACTCTCTTTCCATCGGAGTTAAAGGAGTAACAATAGCATCAGGAGAAGGTTGTTGAGGAGACCTAGAAGATTCAAAATGAGCAGAGGGTACCAATTGGAGAATCAAAGGAAATCAGTGGTGGTCGGTAGACAACTTCATCTTCTTCGTCTTCACTAGGAATCTTCGAATTGGAAGTAGATCCTTCTTGATTATCTAAAGACACATTGAATGATTTGAAAAGAGATGTGTAGTCAAATAACCAATCAGGACCCACTGTTGCATCTGTCTCATTTTCCTCGAGCCAACGAACATCAAAGGATTCTACAATCTGTTTAGTCTTCTTATTGTAAACCATATACGCAGTTCGAGCAACATATCCAACAAAGTAACAGTCATCGTCTTTGGCATTGAACTTGGGATCGAATTCCAAGTGGAGAAGGTTGCAAGGGCAGCGAAATACTCGGAAATGACTGACAGATGGCTTGTGTCCAAATAGAATCTCATACGGTGTCTTCATTCTGGATTTGTTGATCAGCACACGATTGTGAACATAACATGCAGTGTTAATCGACTCTGCCCAAAAGAATACAGGAAGCTTGGAATCACATATCATCGTCCTTGCGGTTTGATTCTGACGTTCGACAACCCCGTTTTGTTGAGGTGTTCGAACAAAACTGACGCACAATCCCTTTCTCAGCGCAAATATGATCAAGAACAACG